CAAGCCCTTGGAACTTGTTTCAATCCATACAGGGCTTTATGTAGCCTGTACACCTTTCTTTCTTCGTCATGTTTCACAAATCCAATTGGTTGTTTAACATAGACTTCTTCATCTAAGGATCCATTTAGGAATGCACACTTCACGTCTATCTGACATATGTGCCAACTGTTTATTTCTGCTAGACCAACAACCAACCTGATTGTTTCGATCCTAGCAACAGGTGCAAAAACTTCATCGAAGTCTATTCCTTCTTTCTGTAGAAATCCTTTCACCACAAGTCTTGCTTTGTGTCGAGTTACTTCACCTTTCGAATTCTTTTTCACTTTGTGTACCCACTTGACATCAATTTCCTTCTTGCCTTGAGGCAATCCGACAAGTGACCAAGTGTTGTTGTCTTCGATAGAATTTACTTCTTCGTTCATTGCTTTCACCCACTTCGAATCCTTTAATGCTTCAGTTGCATTAACGGGTTCGACATCTGCATAGAAAGCATAATGTACCAGCTCACCTTCATTATCTATTACATCATCTGATGTAATCACACAATCTTGCAATCTTGCAGGCATGCGCCTTGTTCTTTGAGGCCTGCTTGTACTTAGTATATCTGCTGGTTCCTCTTGTCGAACTTCTCTTTCGACTTGAGTTTCTGGCTCTTCAAGAAGGATTCCCGCTGAATCTTTATTGACATTTTCAGTCCAATCCCATTATTTAAACTCATCTATGATCACGTCCCTGATGATCACAATCTTCTTGTTCTCTGGATCGAACAACTTGTAGCCTCCTGTCGAATGATATCCAGCTAGAATCATTTGACTTGACTTGTCATCAAGTTTTCTTCTCAACTAATCTGGCACATGTCTATGTGCAATAGATCCAAATACCTTCAGATGACTCAAGCTAGGCTTCACACCAGACCAACATTCTTCTGGAGTAATTCCTTCTAGCTTCTTTGTAGGACATCTGTTCAAAATTTATGTTGTAGTCGAAACAGCTTCACCCCAAAACTATTTAGGTAAATTCTTGCCTTTCAACATACTTCTCACCATATTCATGATGGTTCGATTTTTCCTTTATGCAATTCCATTTTGTTGTGGAGTATAGGGTGACACCACCTCATGCACAATCCATTCCTTTTCACATAATCTGTCGAAGTCTTTCGACACATATTCTCCACCACAATCAGTTCTCAAAACTTTGATCTTTCGACCACTTTGTCTTTCGACCATAGACTTAAACTTGGTAAATACTTCGATCACTTCACTTTTCTTCTTGATCAGGTAAGTCCATAGCTTTTGACTAAAATCATCTAATGAATGTAACAAAGTATTTGTTTACCTGCCCATCGAATCCACCTGGATTGGTCCACATACATCAGAGTATATGACTTCAAGACTAGCCTTCGATCTGCTTCCTGCATCCTTGCTGGAGCTATTCTTGTGTTGCTTCGCCTGCACACATTCCTCACATACCTCGTTTGGAATGTCAATTTTTGGCAATCCTGAAACCATATTTCTTCTCTTCAAATCTCCGATGTCTCTGAAGTTGAGATGGCCTAGTCTATAATGCCATATCCATTCATCTCTGCTAGCTGGCAGTCGAAAGGCACTTGTGCTCCATCACATTTAGTTCAATCTTGAAGGTTCGATTATGAGACATAGGAGCCTTCAAGATTAATCTCCCATTTGTATCAACGACTCTGATCATCTTATCTTCGATTGACAATTTATAATTCTTTTTCGACCAACTGTCGTATACTGAGCAAATTGCTCTTCATGCCTGGTATGTACAACACATTGGAGATTACTGACCTTTTGCCATCTTTCCTCATGATCATAACATCACCAATACCTTCAGCTGCTAGGGTATTATCATTTGCAAATTTTACCATATTTTTCATTGAGGGTTTTATATTGACGAACCAGTCTTTCCTTCCAGACATATGTGATGAACATCCTAAATCCAAGTACCATTGGTCCTTGAATCTATCTTCATATCTTGTTGTGACCATCAACATCATCTCTTCTTCTTCTTCATGTTTTGCAAGCTTTGAATTACTTTCCTGATTCTTTTGTTTTTCTGGACAATCACTCGCATAGTGTCCATACTTCTGACAATTGTAACATTGAATGTGACTCTTATCAGGTTTTCGACCACCACCTCTTTCTCTATTTGCAACACCACCTCTTTGGTTGCCTTGGTATGGTCTTCTTTGATTCGACACGTTTCCTTCAATCTGGTTTCCTCTACCATTCGATTTGTTGTAGCCACCTCTACCTCTGTCGAAACACTTTCCTTTACCTTTGGTCTCTTTTGCTGAATGTGCCTGCAAGGCCACATCACTCTTCGATTTTCCTGCAGCTCTTTCGTTCATTTTTTGTTCATGAGATTCAAGCGTCCCTTGAAGATTTTCCTTTGTCAATTCCGACAAGTCTTTCCCCTCTTCTATCTCCACCACTATGTGGTCGAACTTAGGAGCTAAAGATCTCAAGATCTTCGACACAACAACTCTTGTTGTTAACGCTTCTTCACATATCTTGATTTGATTGACTAGTTTTGTAACTCTAGTGAAGAAATCAGATATGCTTTCACTGTCTTCCATCTGAAGCAGTTCATAGGTCCTTTTGTGAGTTTGTAACCTCACTTCTTTCACTTTCTCAGCGCCTCCAAAAGACTTCTCAAGGATTTCCCAAGCTTCTTTTGCAGATTCTGAATCACTAACTTTTTCAAAATTGTCTGAGCTGACACATTGATGAATTATAAATAATACTTTATAACTCATCTTCTCAGATTCTATGTATTTCTTCTTTTCTTCTTCTGAAGCGTTTTCTCCAAGCGCTTCGACTCCATCTTTTACAAGGTCCCAAAGACCTTGACAACTGAATAAGATTTTCATCTGTTTGCACAAACTCTCATAGTTGTCAACTTTCAGAATTGGTAGGGTTGTTGGATAATTTGCATTCCTATAACTTGTCATCGTGAATTCTTCAATCGTTCTTGATTGACACTTCCCTTGAATCGAAACAAAACTCTGATACCAGATGTTGGAAATCCACCAAAGTCTATGATGAATTTCTACCACAATGACAATTTAATTATGAGACAAACAAAGAAAAGAAGACAAGACAAATAATTTCTGCAGAGTTTCTCTCTGCTCACAAACTGTGAAAACTTTATTATTCACTTTACAACTGCAAAATACTGTGAATGACTTGCTTGACTTGCTTACAAAAATAGGGGTTACTCCCTCTATTTATAACTGAGTTTACACCCAAAGCCCAAAGCCCAAAATATCTTTTTGTTACTAAATCAAATCTAATTTATTCTAGACTTAAATCAAATCAATTTAAATCTAAAACAAATCAAATCTTTTCGACACATAGTTTCGACACATTGGATTACAATTTAACAGTTTTAATTTAGAAATAACGAATATAAATTTTTTTATAATTTTAAAAATCTATTTTATAAAATCTATTTTCTAAAACATAAAGAAAACTTCTTTTTTTTCTTTTTTTAACTGAAATAAACATTGCCCTGTAACTTCGATTTAAAGTACCATTCAGAAATGAACAAAATATAGTGACTTAAGTACTTTTAGAATCTCCATGACATGGTCCACGGAAAACATCTTCATATATCTAACAATTGTTTTTTAGAATGGTTTAAAATTCTAGCTCGATGTTAGAAGGTCAAACATTTAATTTTTTCAGAGGCATTTTTTATTTTGTTTCTACACTCCTCCAATCATATAAAAAAAAGTATATAACAATAAATATTGAATTTCTTAACACAAAATAAATATTAAAAAATAGAGGTCTTTCTAAATTAACATTTACTCTTCCACCATCCATTGTAATCAACAATCTAATCACCTATTCATAATTGTTCATGATTCTTATATTATCATTGACAGTTGTTTCATATTTACTAAAAATGATAGTTTATTTAGTAAAATAAAAAATAACAATATCTTTTTTGATAAAGTGACAATTAGATTCAATCTAATTAAATATATAAACTATAAGGAGATTATTAAAAAGAGAGTGACTGAATATATTACTCGTATTTTCATGCTATTAATATTATAAGTTTATCTAATGCATTGCATTTTGAAAAGAAGCCACATTTACTTGTAAGCATATAGAAATTAGATAAGAAATGACATAAACAATATTTATTATATATTTTAAAAAAATTATGACATTACATTGTGAACTGTTTAACACAATAAATATAAAAAAATTATAAAATTATAAAAAAATTCACACTTTTACTATTTTAAAATAATTTTCAATCTTTTGCCGCGCATTATATCAATAATACCACATGATCAATATAATAATTTTACTATTTTTAATATAAGAAAAAAATAAATCGTGATACTTATATTACCGTTGGCCATTATTTTCATATTAAATATTAAATGAATTGAATATGTTTTTTAGAAAATTCTTAACAGCAAGTATTTTCCATCTTGAAACTTTTTCGTTTTATAATCTAAAATAATTATTTTAAAGTTTTAATGTTTAATACTTTTTTATTGGTTTGTTATTATATAAGTAAAAAAGTACAATGAAACTACTCCAACCATATACAAAAAATCAAATTTAACCGCGAGAACAATTTAACTAGTAGCATTCTGAAGAATATATTGAACTCTTTATTATTTTTGTTGATGTATAATGTCAGAAATATAAACATATTTATTACAAATATATCAATTATCAAAATACAGTTTATCCAATAGGTGCTGAATAAGTTAAGATATATAAAATATGGTAAAAGTGTGTCATTGAATTTCCTACCATATAAATAATGTAAAAAGAGATTTGATGTGAATCTCTCCTTATGTAACGAAAAGGTACAATGTTTGAAAAAAAATTAGAAATTTGGCTATAAAAAGGTCTTTTCACACTCAATTATAGTGTGTTATATTTTAGTTTGAAGTTCGAAACACATTCCTCACTTTATTTTCTCTTCTCTCTTTCTTAATTTCAACCATGTCAACTGGAAGGAAGGGTCGAGGTCGTCAAAAAATTGAGATGAAAAAGATGAGTAATGAGAGCCACCTGCAAGTTACTTTCTCAAAGCGTCGTAGTGGACTTTTCAAGAAAGCCAGTGAACTTTGCACACTTTGTGGTGCAGATGTTGCTCTTGTTGTATTTTCACCTAGTGAGAAGGTGTTTTCATTTGGTCACCCACATATTGATACGATCATAGATCGTTATCTATCACGGGTCCTACCCCAAAATAATGGCACCATGCAACTCATTGAGGCTCACCGTAGTGCCAACGTGCGTGAGCTCAATAGTAAGCTGACTGAAATTAATAATACGTTGGGCATTGAGAAGAAATATGGTGATGAGCTGGTTCATTTGTTCAAGGAAACTGAAGCTCGATTTTGGTGGGCTTGTCCCATTCATTCGATGAATAAAGTCCAACTTGATCTATTCAAGAGGGCTTTGGAGGAACTTAAGAAACTTGTTGCACAACATTCCGATAGGTTTGTAATTCAGAGTGCACCTACCCAAACTATTCCATTTTTTGTTGGAAATGTTTCCAACTCTAACATGCCTCTTCATCATCAGGAAAATTCTCAACAAGCTCCAATGTTTCAACCACAATTTATTCAGAACCCTATGTTGCAACCCCATTTGTTTGGCTTCAACGATATGGATGGAAATGGCGGATATAGATCATCTGGAATCTTTTGATCATATGGATTAGATCTTCCTTATGATACCTTTATTATGAATATGTTTTATGTCATTTTATCATTATCAATTTGAACACACGGGCTTAATTAGTTTCATTTATGAGGTTAGGACTGAATTCAATGTTATTTGAATAATTAATATCATGTTTTATTATGTATTGTTCAAATAAATGGCGTTTTATTTATTTATATTTCAATATTTCTTCAAAATTTTATTTATCTTTTGAAGTCTATTGAATCTATTTTATTCCTTTATTGTTTTTTAATCGTCGAATAGGAATTATAGAATTACAATCGAGTGTAAGCAAAGATTAGCAGAGAGAATAACGATAAAGAATTGTGATAATCATGTTATGCAAATTTTATTGTAAATTTGTTATTAGATGATTAGTTTTTTCGGATCTTATAAGAAGTGTATCTGTCTTAATATAAATTTGTATTCATAAAAAAAAACCTTATAACACAAACATGTACAATTTAATAGTTTAAAATAAAAGCCTTCATAAAAATTAATAATTTTACCTCGTGATATCTAAGAAATAAAATCAATCCGTAAAAAATAACTTCAAGATACGAACATGTACTTTTTATATGCCTTTCTATCCTATTTAAAATACTTTTTTATATCAATTTATTCAAATAAATAGTTAAACATATTTTAGATAGATTAAACTCCATTTTTAATGTTTACCTTGAAACTTTAAAGAATTTGATTTTATATAATATATATTTTACAATTTTAATTTACAATACTAAATTTAAATAAAAATAAAAATAATTTAAGTTAATAAACAAAAATATTAAAGAATTACAAATTTATAATAATATTAATATAAATATTTTATAATATAAATTGTTTTTTTTGTTATCATATATATATATATATATATATATATATATATATATATATATATATATATATATATATATATATATATATATATATATATATATATATATATATATATATATATATATATATATATATATATATATATATATATATATATATATATATATATATTACCACCCCGAATATTTGTATCCCGGCCGGGTTGCGAGCCCGACAAGGAATATGATATTGGCCGGTATGCAAAGTTACCCAGCTAGTCCATATTCGGGTATAGGGTCGGCAAGAGTGATATGGTAGAAGGTTAGCTGAGGCCGGGCCCTGACCTGGAGCATCTATTGTGTAGCCGGATAAGAGGTCGGCTCATCTAGCTAGGTGTGTGAGAGATCGACCCTGAAAAAATTAAGAGTCATAACAGTCAGCTTAATGATGAGATGAGCGTTATGAAACATTAATGGCTTGCTATTATGACGACAACGACTGTTACAGACCCATGAATGGGAGGAAACTAAGAGCCATATCTTTAATGAGGTTAGGATATATAAAGGCACCTCAAAGGTTGGAAAGGGGTTCTGAAAAAAGATACACGGTGTTGCACCCCAAAATTTTCTCTGCTATCTTGCTTTTATCTGGCTTAGGTTTCCCATTTCATCAGCATAACATACATGCATTCATAAAGCATATTTAGTTTAAAAGATTAGCAATATTAAGGTTTCACATTGGTTGGAGATTTCTACATCCAATAAAGTATGATATCTCTGGTTTTTCTTGGTGCATTGAGTTATGGAATTAGGATTATAAGGTATGGTTATCCTGAGCGTCATTCTCCTCAAGCTACAAGGCAATTAGGATTTATTTCCCCATGCATCTGGCAATCAAGAGAGTTCCTCATGGGGTTTTCCTTTATTCATGTGTGAAGATCATCATTCAAGGGATCATTGTCACTGCTTGAAGTACAAGCTATTGTGCATGGTGTGATGTGTACATGGCAAGATAGGGTTTTCATGTGGATTAGAGTTCATTTCCATGTTCAGGTGGTGGGATTCTTTTTGTGGTTAGGGTTTACTTCCTTATAAGCATACTTGGTCAGATGGTACCATTGATGATTAAGGTTCTACTGTGACCATTGTGTGGATTATTTCTCAAATGTTGGGGATTATGGTCTTATTCATGCACCATGGTTTAAATACTCATTTACTTGTGGTTCAAGTTTGATTTATTGGATTCAATTTCAAATGCTTGTTGATTATGAGATATATCAAGGTTTTGGTTATTCCCATTGTCACTTATGATGTAAGCTTTTGATTATTGGGGTATATTAAGTCAAAAGAAGATTTTGGGTTATTGAATTCAAGGAATGGATATGAGGAATCAACTTATTTTGTTTGGTACCATTTGAATTGGACAAAAGAGTTTGGATTTGAAAGTATGATAAAGAGGGAAACTTTATTTCATTCAAATGGCTCAAAGCTACAAGAGTCAAGTTACAAATACAAGTTCAATTACAAGAAATTTACAACAAAAAAAACAATTGTTGACCGTTGACTTTTCCCATAGTTGATTCCCTAAGACCTGATGACATCCCATTTAGCTTCATTGGGCCTCCAACTTCTAATATCATGGCATAACGTCACGTTCAAACAATACCTTTCCATCCAAAGATCCAAACTTGCATCACACTTCAAGAAAATACCATAAAACCAAATCAGCTCATGAAAACCAATCCATAACTTAACATAACTGTGTTGTTCATTAAGAAGTAGAAAGCCCGATATTAGTTCAAAAAATAAGGGAAAAGAATAAAAAACAATAAAATGGCCAACTGATTCAATGTCTAACATAATTTTAAAACTAAAATTAAAAGAAATTAAAAAGAAATAGAAGTAAAAACAAAAATAAGAAAAGTAGTGATTAAAAAAAAGTTTTGGGGCCAAAGGGTGTTGAACCCACGCCCTCCATATTACAACTCGAAATCTTAGCCACATGGTCACGGGCTAGGTGGTGTTAACATGATGCATTTATTAAATAAAATATAACACAAGTTACTATGTGTGAGAAAAAAAATGAACAAAACAAAAAGTCTAGGGCGATGAGGGACTCGAACCCCAGACCGTATGGTTACAAGACTCTTAAAACCAACGCTTTTACCATTGGGGTGAAATTACAATTCATTATTTTTCCAAAAAATGAAACTTTCTTATTTCTCAACCAAATTCAAAAGTGTAAAAACCAAACTTGCTCGTAATTTTATGATAATTTCAAAAATGTACATACCAAAAATTAATATTGGCCGTAGCTCACGAGTTTTAAACAAAACCAGAAACCCTAAGTTTCTTCAAAGTTAAATTATATGGAAAACAAGCTCAACCAAGGCCTATATTCATAGGGCTTTCATTCATGGTAATTAAACACACAGAATTGTATCAAGAAATGTTCAAAATGATCTTGTATGGATGACTTCAAAATCAGGAAAAAATTCACCTATTGTAGCAAGGCCCAATGCCTTATTCAAGCACTTTTAGTGATAAAAAATGAACTCTTTAGCTTGTATGATGTCCCAAGAACATAATGCAACTTTTAGTTTTCTTTGAAACTATCTCTAACTCTCTAACCAAGTTCACTTATTATGGTAAATGAGCACGGGTTGGGTGGAGCAATGGAAGTGTTCCAGATGCAAACTAATGCATTCAGAAGCTTATATGTGGTGTGTAGATGGTGTTTGAGAGGTTAGTTTGCAAAGAACTTGCAAGGAATGAGAACTTCAAAGAAATGGATTTTGAGTTTTAATGGAGTTTTCAAATTTTCCACTACGTGTTTCTCTGAATTCTTAGGGAATTTGAGGTGTGTTTTGGACTTGAGAATGGCTATCTATTTATAGGAAAAGGTTGAGAGGTTGAGAGTTGATCATAAAAAAAAGTTGTGGAGTTTAGGTTTAGTTGAAATCCAAATGAAAGTTACATGCATTATGGTGATTCCTGTGAGGGCAAGGTTCCTTCAATAAGGGTTTCAATGATGTCAAAACTTTCAAGTATATGTTGGAAATATTGCTAGATGATATGGTAGACAAGGAAGCATGAAAAGTCTTCAAGAATTGGTATTTTTGGAAATTTCTATGCTCTAAGTCGACTCAAAGAAAGCTATGGTCAACGCATGATTGAAATTTGTTCCTTGGGGAAGTCTCAGATTTTCTCACATCGACTGTGTGGTCGACTCAACCTGGGAGTAATTTTTAGGAACTATGCATCGAAGCATAGCCCTGGAGCGGTCGGTAAATTGAAAGTTACGCCTTGCGGAAATCTCAGGTTTTATCATGTCGACTATATGGCCGACTAAACCTGGGAGTAATCTTTAGGAACTACGCGTCGATGCATAGCCCTGGAGCGGTTGACGCATGGATCTCACACTTTGTCTCCCGGCACTCTCGGGAATGCTTAGGCCGAGTCCCCCTTTTGGAATAGGTCGACCATTCGCTCGTTAAATTTGTTTTTCAGCTTGACAGTTTGGGTTTTGACTTGAGATGATATATATAATCTTGTTAGGTTCAATCATTTGGTTTTTCAACAAGAAAAGTGAAATAGATATACAAGGTACCATCATCTTCAACCTCCCACTCATCCATTGACAACTACACATAATAATTTTTGTCGATCAAGGTGCAGAGCGTGTTTTCATAACGCCTGAATTAGAAGATTGTGATCTTGTTCGGGTTGAGTAATTGTGGGTTTTTCTTGAATAAAATCTGAGGGTTTTGTCCTCCAAGATCATTGGGATTTGGGTTTTTTTGACAATTATTTGCTTCAAATTTAGTTATGCTTAAGGGATTGAGGAACCGTGGGTTTGCTTGACAAGGTAGCTACAATTGTAGGATTGTAAAGGAAGAATTGGGGTCACCATATTATGATCAAATCAGCCAAGCAGAGGGCTTGAGAAACAGTTTTGGTTCTCAACAAGGTAGCTACAACCGAAGGTTTATCGAAGATTGGTGACATGCTTGGTTCAAATCGAATCAAGGGAAGAGGGGAGCTTAGTTTTCAATTCAACATATTGGGTTTGAATTGTGGTGACTATTTTCTATCTCCTGTACAAACTTTGAAATCATAATAGAAATTATCCTAATTCTATATTCTAGAATTAGGGGCAGAGTACCC